GAAAATGTACTGATCTCGAATGGCTGTGCGAATAGAATGGCTGAGAGTGATTATCTGTCTTTGCTTTTTGAAAGCAAAGAGAACTTTAATACTTACAATAACAGCCTTGGATACCCTGGAGATGATCTGGATATAGTGCTTGAGGGATGTATCTGAACAGATATCCAATTCTTTTTTTTTTTTAAGAGAGACTTTTGCTATAGGATGCCTGGGCTCACTGGAGAGAGAGAGAAAACAGGAGAAATCACACCCAAGGAGAGATGGTCAGAGTTCCCTGTCCTCCATTTTCCCCTAGGGATTCTGGGCACACACTTACAGGCACCCGGTTTTAAATCACTGGTCTGGGACCTGAACTGTGGTCAGGTATTTGGGAGTCCAACATCTTAACTACCACACCACCTTCTGGCTCTCCCATTCATCTCAAGAGAAAGGTGAGAAATTATTATATTGGGATGAAAAAGGCAATCAAAGATTATATCCATTAAAAATAAAAAGAAATAACTAATAAATAATGCAGCCCGAAGGGACTTACTTAATAAAAAACTTTATAGCAAGGATGAGTTATTTACCTGGACACATCTCATGATGTCTTCAAGAAGTTAATGTAAGTGCCTTCCTTCCTTCCTTCCTTCCTTCCTTCCTTCCTTCCTTCCTTTTTCCTCCCTCTGTTTCTTCCTTCCTTCCTTCTTTGCTTGAGAGTTTAAGGGACAGAGAGACAGTACCCCTGTAAGAGTCTGCAAACACTGTAATCTCTCCACCCCAGTTTTCCAGACAGCCAAGCTCATGGACTGCTCAGTGTGTTCAGGTCAACCCTAAGTCCAAACCTGAGGTCCCTTGTATGACTCCAGCAGTAAGCAGTGACACCCTTCAGCCTGCACCACTATGGCTGGGCCATGTGACTTGTTCTTGCTGTTGCTGTTCTCTTTACACTTGATCTTCACTAAAATTGCACAAGCAATGTTAACTTTTAGAATGCTCTTGATACAGTTTTCCAAGAGTATTTTTTTAGTGAAAGAAGAACAGGTACCCTCTGGTTCATAATTAATCTCTTATTGGAGGGAATTTTTCTTTAGTGGTGAAAGCTTTATCTTAGGTCTCTTTTTCAGGCATAAGGCCAATGTTATAGGACCATCAAAAACCTTAGCTTTTTTTTTTTCCCCCAATATTTGCTATAGGGCATTCACACTCACCAGGGAGAAAGAGAGAGAGAGAGAACCCAAGGAGAGGATGGCCATACCTCAATCCCTTCTCTTCCATTCTCCTCTCAGTATTTTGTGCATGCACACACATGTATCCAGTTTGTTTCTCAAGTTGCCAGGTCTGGGACTCTAACCACACTATCAACCATGTGGTATCAAGCTGCCTCAATTACCATGCTACTGGCTGGCCCAGTTTACCAATTATTATTTTTCTTCTTTTTCTTTTCTTTTCTTTATCTTTTTCTTTATTCCTTTCTTTTCTTTTCTTTCTTTCTTTTTTTTTTTTTCTTTTTTTTTTTTTTTTTTTTTTTTTTTTTTTTTATTAGTTTTTTTTGCTATGGGACACTTTCACTAACTGGAGAAAGACAGAGAGAGAGAAAGAAAAAGTGAGAAATCACGCTTTAAGGAGAATGGCCATGCCACAATGCCTTTTCTTCCATTCTTCTTTTGGAATTTGTGGTGTGTGCCCATGCGTCTGGAGTGTTTTACATGCTGCGAGGTCCGAAACTTCAACTGATCAGTCAGCTATGTAGTATCCAGCCATCTTAATCTCTGTGCCCCCTGGTGGCTTGTAATTTTTATACTAAAATTCAGGATGACAACTTTGTGTTTCAACTGTCATGACTCCTCGGCCTCATGGTTTCAGTCTCAATCAATGAATCAATTTCATTGTGTGAGTTGCACAATTTAACTGATGTAGTAGACACAGGGAATCTCTTATGTGGATTCATTGTTACTATAATCTTGTTTAGGATCTAAGGACTGCTTCAGATAACTCTTTTAGTCAAAAAAATGTTGGTGGACATAACTGCAAAAGGACTTTTTAAAAGTCAATCTGGTCCTACAGATACCATAAAAAGTCCCAAATGCACTGAAGTTTCATATTATATGAAACTGAAAGAAGAGAGCTGGCCCTGTGACCTGGTGTTTAAGAGAGTTGGACCCTGCATACTTATTGTAGTTTTCCAGTGGTCTGAAAAACATACCCAGTGCAGGTGGGTGCATGCCCAAAATTGACAGGATGGAGAATGGAAGAAAAACACTGCAGCATGAACACACCTCTTTGGGAAGAGCTTTCTCCCTCTCTCTCTTTTATTCTTTCTTTCTTTCTGTCTGTCTCTGGTGAGTACCGGTGCCCTCTAGCAATGAAAGAAAAAGAATAGAAAGAAAAGAAACCGAAAGAAGAACCAAAATGACTGCAATGAACAAAAATGTCACAATTGTAAAAATGTCCCTAAGACATGTTACCATTAAGTAGCAATGTTATGGAGTGTGTGTGTCTTTTTGTGTTTGTGTCTACCTATGTATGCATGTAAATGATAAATTTATGCTAATAATCTCAGTCTGTCTCTGCAGGTAGAGTCAAATGGGACATGCTAGAAGTGAACATTTGGCCACTGAGTGACCCAAAGTGGTTGGCTAGTAGTTTAAATTACCTCATGCAATGGGTAGTTATTGGTTTATATTGTAATATTTAAGGTGACTGACATTCAATGAAGATAAAGTGGAACTTTTCCTGAGGAATTGGGAGTTTGCTTGGATTTTGATGAGTCTCAATCAGTGCATTAGAGATACCAGTGTCTACATTTGAATGTTGCTAATTAAGTCAAGATCTCAGCGGAAACCTAAGCAGAGATAATTAATGTTTGTGTACATTAGGTGGTAGAAAAGATGTTTTATTTTGTTAGATCATCTCTTTCATCAGAGAATCTCTTCAACATAAACATGGTAAGAAATGAGACCAGTAGTTGGCATAATGGCTATGTTGCTGGACTCCCATGTAGTTGACCGTGGTTTGAACCCGGACCTGGTGGGTTAAATTCATGCCTGGTACATGTGTGTCCATGCCCAAGTTCCTGAGAGAAGAAGGGAGAAGGGATTGCAGCTTGGCTATCCCCTCCAGGAGGTGATTTCTTATTTTCTGTCTCTCTGTCTTTATGGCAAGCGCATGCGCCATATGGCAAAAACCTCTAAAAAATAAAAGAAAGAAAGAAGAAAGAAAATGGTAAGCATCTTGCCAGGTGCTAAGGGCGCAGGATCCCGCATGGCCCTGCAGTTTGAGCCCCAGTCCCAGCTGCTTGCAAACACGCTGTCTGCATGTGCGTGTGCCCCAGATTCTGACAGGGTGGAGAAACGGAGAAGTGGCTGCAGGGCTGCCCATTGGAGTGTGCTTCCTCCTTCTCTCTGGTGATATTCATACCCTCTGGCAAATATTTTTTCTAAAGAAGAAAAGTAAGACTCTTACAGTAACTAAATATTGGATTGTCGGAAAAGTCATGATGCATTTTTGCATGGAAAAAATACGTCATAAGTTTTCTTTTTATTTTTTCTTCTTTTTTTTCTTCCTGAAATGCAGCTGGTAATTATCAATCAATTAGCAGGAATTTTTTTTGAGAGAGAGATTTTTTTTTTTTTGCTACAGGGCACATGTGCTCACCAGACAGAGAGAGACAGAAAGACAGAAAGCGAGAAATCACCACCCAGGGGGGGATGGCCACTGCACAATCCCTTCTCCTCCATTCTCCTCTTGGGATCTTGGGCACGCACACACATGCACCAGGCGTGGGTTTTAAGCCACCAGGTCCAGGACGCGAACTGCAGTCGACGACATGGGAGTCCAGCGACATAGCCATTACACTAACTGCTGGTCCCCGTCATAACTTTTCTGATGACTCAATATTTTGTATCACCCCTCCAGCAAAATATTGATTTTTCTCATTCCATGTGACTAAATATGCTAACCTAGCAATGGAATGTATAGAATCACTGACTCATTAGTAAACCTGTTGACCAGGATCCTAATTGATGCTTTATCTGTTATTTTATATGGTAAAAGATGATTCCCTAAAGTGTGCAAAAATGTATGCTTCCTAAGTTAGTATATAGTGATATTTTATTTATGTCACCCTATGATACATGCATATTTAAACACCCTCGGAGAGAATCTGGAGGATTTTCAAGGACGAGTGGGCAGTTATTAGAATCATCTACACAAAACAAAGTGAAGGTTTTCAAACTCTATGGTTCCTCCAAAATGTGAGCTGTGAGCATAACATTCCTGAGTGAAAACCACTGTCTTAGCAAGTAGAGAAATTAGGCCTTAATCCAGCTCTTACAACACATTCTCTATTATTCTCATTGCCTCCATTTTCTTTTAGAAGTTGCAGTGGCACTCTCTAGGTTAATTTGAGTTTTATCTGCAGTAAAAGAAAAATGCATAGTAATTGAACCCTTACCATGCGATCCCTACCAGCAAAAACGCTCAAAACTGTAGCTAGTAGTACAAGTGCAGATGCCTTATGAGTGGTAAGTAGTTCAGAAGAAGGAAACAAGATCACAGGGTACTTTACAATAGAAGGACCTTAAACTAGGTCCTAGGAATTGGGAATATTTGGTGCTATCAAAGTCCATTCATGGGAACAAATTGAGGTGAAGGACAGAAGCAGGATCAGATGTGGTTGCCAAGAGAAAAGACTAAATTATCTATCTTTTGAGTGGATGTTGCTTCAGAAACAACAACAACAACAGTCACTCCATGTGGAAACTAACTCTAAATAAGGTAAAATGTGCAAGAGAGCAAGGTATGTGATTTCACGATTTGTTCTTTATCCCCTAGAAATTGATCTGTGAATAAAGCTCCCTTTAGAGTCAATTCAATTATGATGAAAGTGTTTAATCACCTGCCAATGATGAGTAAACATGAGAAACATGTGTATTCAAACATCAAGAAGAGAGACTGAAAGCAACTTCATTATTGCAGACTTTGCTCAGCTAGTATTTTGTCTTTCCCCTCATCCACAGAACCTAAAGTCAGCTGCAAATTGGGCCGGTCTGCATCTGCATCAGGTGTGCCTCCTCCATCAGTTACTCCTCTCAGGCAAACCAGTGAGCTGCAACAGAGCCAGGTACCATCATCGTTAGCCAATCGTGATTGACTTCCTGTGACGCAACATGCCAAATGCTTCCCACCTCTGTCTGTCGTGTGTTGCTGTAGACAACTTTTGCATTTGCTTTTATTTTTCTATGTGTGTATGGGTTTGGGGGGAGATGAGTTTTGACAGTGTGTGTTTTCATCCAAAAAGGAATGTCTTTCTTCCTTGTGATTAGTGAAACTTTCTTTGCTGTTTGTTACCAAATCGTTGTTGTCTCTGGTTTCCATCATTCTGTAATATGAATGTAGTAAACTTGAACTCTATGTATTGGCTTAGCGGTTATTTTTACAACCTTTTTCTCTCTTCCATGTTTTGTGTACTTTTATACTGTCTCTGAAAATTTATCAACATTTGATAAATTTATCTACTTTGTTTTATGTAGCTTCTATTTTAAATGTTCTGTCCACAACCCTTGCACAGATGTTGTCAAAGAATTTGTACATACCTTTAAGCTCTTACTCTATTATACTGTAATATTTGTGGCAGTTTTAGTTTTGTTTGGCTTGGAGCATGATTGTAAGATGCGGTGAATATAGATGTCCTTATGAATATTCATATACCAACCCACTTGGCTCAAATAAGGCAGCTAGCCTTTCTTCTTTCTTAGCCATAGAGACAAACTGACCATCAAGATAATCTAGATATTTACCAAAAACTGTAGCTTAATAAGGCAACTTTGAACTAAATGACTTAATTATACCAACAATATCATAAGCGTTCTCAGAAAGGGAATGTAAGTGTTCATGCATGGTAAACGAAATCTCTATTATCTCTTGGAGAAAAGAGACAAGAAATAAAGTCCTAAGTTAAAATAGTACTTAATCCACTACAGTATGATATGTTGCACTGATGTTCATTTGGGCGCATGGTTGTGAGTGGGGAATTTAGAATGGGGGAAAAACACCACACATAAATGTGCCATCAGTAACTTACCAGATAGGTATTCAACATATCTACCTTCTTTGAGGTTTAATTGTTGTTGTTATTGTATATTATGGGTGTTAAATAGGATAATGTCATCTGATAATGGTTTCTCTCTGCTTCTCAGCTTCAATCTCTGAATTCCTGAAACCCTTCTGAAATAGTAAATTATAAAACCAGTGATGACACCTTCCTGGAAACTGCCCATGACTGATTAGCAAATTACATATTCATCAATTATTTTAAATGTCAGGCTATTTTTAATACATCACTAAGCAGAATAATTGCAATTTTTCTAATGAGAGACATTGTATTTCTTAGTACTTTTATCAGGCTTAAATACACACAGGTCTTGATTTATGAATATGTAAGTTATCTACAAACACAAGAAATGAGAGTCTTCTCTCAAGGGCACCTCGTGTGTCGTTTAGAATTTTGCGTGTCTTAACATAAATGTTGAATGTTTTTGTAACTAAATGTAGTGAGCTCAAACAATGTTTGGATATAAAAGAAGTAGAAGCAATAGGACACAGAATAAGTAAATAAATAATAGTATACCCAACCTTGCTGGGATAAACTGGAACCTGAGCTCATTGAAGGTATTGTTTTAATCCATTGTGTTGCTAATAGCAGAAATACCCGAGTCTGGATGATAAATAGAGGCTATGGTTATATTCAGCTCACAGTTTTAGAAATCCGAAGTCAAGGGCCCTATCTGGTGAGGATTTTTCTGTTGTGAGAGTCCCCAGGATCATGAGGCATCGTGTGGTGAGGACAACAGCAGAGAAGAACAAGGGTGTGTGTGCCTGTGCTTATGTGTCTCTGCTCTAATTTCTTTCCCTTTCCTCATATACCCACCAGTTCTCAGGTGGTGGGGAGGGCAGTGAGACCCACCCTAATAATCTCGTTCAATCCTAATCACTTCCCAAAGGTCCCCCTACTTAACTTCCTTGTAAGATTGAGTTCCTACCCTCTTAATACCTTCACAAAGGCTCACCAAATTACAACACATGAATTCATATGGGACACATTTAAACCATATAACCTATTCCATAATTATTGTATTTACCAATAACTAAAGTTTAAAAATGTTAAATACTGAAAAGAGAGTAGAGAGCCAGTAGGTGGTGTGGTGGTTAAGGCTCTGGACTTCCACATGGTTGACAACAGTTTGAGTCCTGGACCTGGTGGCTTGCTATCTCTCTTTCTCTTTCTTTCATGAGTACACATGCTCTGTAGCAAAACTTAAGACATAATAATAATAATAAGAAGAAGTAGAACTAAATAGATAATTCTTAAAAAAAACTGAAAAGGAAAGTATTTTGGCTAATCTACAGAGGATTACATTAATACAATTTTCCAAGTGTATGATGTTTGCTATTACATTACTCTCAGTACCTTCGCTGTCTTCCTGTACTTTTCTCCTGCATATCTTCAGAGCTCTTTTACCCTTAGCCACTTTAACTCAGTGAAAGCAGGTCCCTCTAGGTAAACTTCCAGCCTAGAAACTAGGTACATTTCATGTTCCTTTATATTATCACCTCCTTGCTTACCTGATGAAATATTCTTCATTCTTCAAAACGTAACTGAAGAAGCCCCACACAGTTTACATGCTATTAGTTCTCACCTGCTAACAGGAATTCTGGCATAGAGCCACATTGTGGATAAGGTATGAATTCTGGCCTCTGGGCTTCTCCTTTGTGGCTGATGACCAGATGTCATATACAGTTTTTTCAATATTTTGGAGAAAAAAGGATAAACATAACTCAGAAGTACTTTGCTTTGTGTTGTTGTTGTTTTGTTGCTATAGGACATAGGACATGTACATTCACTGGAGAGAGAGAGAGAGAGAGAGAAAGAGAAAGAGAGATAAAGAGAAAGTGAGAAATTACCCCCAAGAGGGGATGGTCGTTCTGCATTCCCTTCCCCCCATTCTCTCAGGGTTTTGCACATGCACGTACATGGGTCTGGCGAGTTCTCCAAGCTGCCGGGTCCAGGATTCTAGCTGTGTAATTGGCCGTGTGAGATTCGGCTGCCTCAACCACCATGCCACCAGCTGGACCAGACTTTGCTTCTATCCCAATGACTTAATATTAATTAAAATCAATGAATACTTACTGAAGGTCTTTTTCTTAGTCAATCCCCATGTCCTTATTACATTGTCTTAACTGAGCTGTTTCTCTTTTTTTCTTTTTTTAAGATTACTTATTTATTTTGTAAGCAAGAGCAAGAAGTACCCTCCGTAGGGTCTTACAGCCCCCTTTCCTCCTCCCCAGCATGCCGCTCAAGCCCTTTTCAACCAACCAGAATTACGGGCACATTACTATTCAGTGTGTATAGGCTGACATGGGAAGCAATCCCCAGTCTTCATTCAGTACACGGCTTCCAGTACTGCAGCATGTCATGCAACTGCAGTGTATCACAGCAGGGTTGTGAGAGGCCTCTTTAAATTGCAACCAGGAGGGCAATGCCCACCACCAGAATTTGTATGAGGCAACTTCCAAGAAATTTTGGAAAAATGGAATTAAAATAGGAGTTCATTTTGGTACAAAAATGTTTAAATCCATATGTAGGTTTTTCATAATATGCATTTTCCATGAACTTTTTTAAAAATAAAATTCTTTTATTTAACTTTGTTCATCATCATTATTATTATTAAATTTGACCAGAGAAAGACGGGGGGTAGGGAGGGGTGAGAAAGCAAGCTGGAAAGTCTGGGACTTGAACCACAGTTGGCCATGTGGAAGTCCAGTGCCTTAACTACCATGCCACCTGCTGGCTCCTTCCATGAACTTTTCAAAGACTCCTTGTGTGTAAACACAAGTGAAGCTAATGTTTGCTTGACTCTGCAATGTTTTTGCTTCAGGTAACTAGAGTAAACAGAAGAGCTATAAAATATGTCATCACGTCTGACTGAAATTTCAAAATTTGCAAAAGAAAACGAACAGCTCAAGAAAGAAATGTGAATCCTAAAACATTTAGAGTTTGCTCCAGAAAGCATCATATTCTCTAACACTCAGAGAGATGAAAAGCAGATTTTATTTTTTCTTAGCTCACTTCGTGTAAATAGGCTAGACATGGGCATTTCCTCGGAATTTCATTGCAACGTACATGCATGTTTTAGCATTTCTCATAGCGCGAATCCGAAATCTGGCTGAATGTATGTGCCCGAAGTCAGAGCCACTTCTGTTAAACTTGGAGCTCAGTTCCTTGTCTCTTGTTTTCCTCCATACTAAAGAACTGTGTGCTCCAAAGAAAAGAACGGGAGTGCTTTTAGACACAGCAGATGATGTTCATATATTTCTGTCTCAGGCTGAGATCAGGCCTCTCTGTCAGTGACCCACCCAAGACTGGTGCCATCTGTAGTTCTCCTGCAGTAGCTGAAGTACACACAACTGATGTGCAGGCCATGTAAACCCATGCTTTCCTTCAAGAATGGGGCAGCTTGGGGGTGGCAGGTGGCATGGTGGTTAAGGCATTGGACTCCCATATGGCCAAGCACGATTTGAATCCTAGACCTAGTGGCTTGCTTTGTCATTTCCCACTTTCTTTCTCTCTGTCACTCACTGGTCAAATTAAAAAGATAATGACAGTAATTCAAAAATAAAAATAAATAAGTAACTCTAAAAAAAAAGAAAAAGAAAGATAGAAAGAAATGGAGCCGCTAGGCTGTGTCTCCAAACAGTATCTCCCCTTGGAAAAACGTGCCGAAGAAATGTTTGAACTTCTTTGTTGAAGAAGGAGTTGAAAGTCACTCCACTCCACATAGGTGCAGAAGCGTGCACATACTTCTGCATACACAAACTCACATACACACACACTTCACTTTATTTTTTTTTAGTAATAGATTCTCAGGTTGGATCAGGACTCACAGAGTTAACAGTGATTCTCGTGTTGAACTGAAACCTGACCATTATGTTTGATTTAAGGGAAAGGGAAAGAAAAGTCCATTTATAATTTCTTTACAACACACAATGCGAAGTGTGGATCTAAATCTTAGCATCCCAAACAGTGCCTTTGCCTCTGAAGATGTTACCTTTTGCATCCCATGT